GCGTCCGTGGGTGAGATGGGGCGGGGGCAGAGCCAGGGCCTGCTGTTCCCTCCTTCCTTTCTTGACCAGCCCTTCCTCTCGTTTCGGCGGCGAGCGAGGGGGGAAGTGAGAAGGAGAAGGTCTTCTCAGGAGGCGGCGGGACTTCTCAGACGCCCTCTTGCCTCTGAGAGGCCTTCTGTGTCTTCGGGGAAGGCTCAGGAACCTTCTCAGAAGGCCAGGGGACTTCCCAGCCTTTTGAGAAGGCCCGCCCCTTCTCACTTCCCCCCCCCCCGGGCTCGTCGCCGATTGTTATCTGGAGGGCAGCGCCGTCCGCCGCTGGCTCGCCAGGCTGAGCGACCTTGTGGCCGTACCGTGCTGGGACAGCATGTCGGCGTTGTTGGGCCATCTTGGGGCCTCTCGGGGGCATCTCGGGGCATCTGGGGCCACTTTCGAGCCATCTTGAGCAGGCTCGGGGCCTCTTGGGCCCATCTTTATTGGGCCATCCTGGGCGAGTTTGGCGGTGTCTTGGGGCCTTTCGGGGCAATCCTGGGCAACCTCAGGGGGCCTGGTGGCCGTCTTGAAGCAATCTTGGGAACCCTTAGTATTCCAACATGTGAGATGCAAACTCGTTGAAACTGTGATCAGTTTTCAGTGTTTGTGGCTCTTTCGGAGGCGTCTCGTGGCGCTCCTGATTCATCTCGTGGGTATCTTGGGGTCGCCTTCTGCTGTCTAGTGCTACTGAGACCCACTTCAGGGCATCTGGGGGCCGTTCTGGAGGCCGCGGGGGCCCCCCTGGCCGTCTCGTGGCGATCCGGTGGAAACCCTGGGGCAAACTAGGGCAGCCAGGAGGCTGATGCCCGCCTGAAGATTTGTTTGTTTGTAAGTGTCTGTCGGCGGCCCCCTGGCAGGTGAAGAGAGGACTGGAGAGACAATAGACACACACATACATACACACACCCATACATATATACATACATACGTGCATGCATATATACATACATACGTGCATCCATCCATACATGCCTGCATGCATGCATACACCACACACACGTACATACATACACACGGTTATGCACACACATACACGACCATACACACCTACTCATATACGTACATAAGCACATACACAATTACCTACATCTATACATACATACATACATACATACATACACACATCAATCCATCAGTCAGCCCACACATACATACATACATACATACATACATACATACACAAATACATGCATGCATGCATGCATGCATACATACATACATACATACATACATACGCACTCACTTTTGCATCTACAAACTTACATGCACCTGCAGACATGCAAACACGCATGCATGCATGCATCCATGCATCCATAGAGACACAGACACATCCATGCATGCATGCATGCATGAACCCACACACACATGCTTGTTTACATACATACTTACATACGTACATACATACGTGTATCCATACATACACACATGCATACATGCATACATACATACACACATGCACACATACACGCGTACACACATCCACACCATCACATATGCGCACACATCCATGCAGCTATGCGATGCATACAAACATACATACACCCATACCTAAAGGCATCCATGCACACATACATACAGACAGACATGCACACATACATACATACATACTCACACATTCACACGCGCACATACGTACATACATACATACATACATACATACATACATACACACATACATACATACATATATGTACATCCACACTTGCACACATGCAGCATGCATACAGTTTTGCATACGTGCATGCATTGTTACACGCATACATTCATGCATGCATGCATGCATGCATACACATATGTATATATGCATCCATCAATACACACCTACTTACATACATACATACGTGCATACATAAATACATGCACGCATTCACACATACACGCATACACACCTACACACCTCTATACATGCTCGCACCCATGCATACATGCACACATGCATGCGCACATACATACATCCATACATGCATGCACACATACATACGTACATACCTACAGACAGACAGCCAGCCAGCCAGCCAGTCAGACAGACAGACAGACGGACAGGCAGACATACATACACACATACATGCATACATGCATGCATGCATCTATACATGCATGCATGTATGCATTCATACATATTTATAGATGCATAATATCAGCAATCGAGGTTTACAAAAGTCAGCAGTGTTTTCCACCGCCTTGCGCGTCCAAGGGGGCCGGCAGATCCTTCAATTCGCAGTTCCGATCTCTCTGCATTTTCAGTGACGCAGTTGGAGCTGGACAGGAAGGGCAGGAGGCCGATTCGCCTGTTTGTGTGGCTGTTTCCGCGAGCCGGCGCCATCACTCTTTCGGGAAAAAGGTCAGTTCGAACGTTCGCCCAAGTGGCAATGACCACTCCGCATTCGACATACCTTATGCCATGCATGGTCATGCCAGGGCTGTTTTTTTGGTGCTGACGCTTCGCGCATCATCACCAGTTATCCCAACCAGCCGATCAAGGAACGATCTCCATGCGAGAGTCCTTGACCAGGGAAGCGTAGGAGCATAGAGTGACACAAGGGCGGTGCGGCGGCCTTCCTGTCAGCACCATGTTCCCCCCTCATATCTTCACCTTTGGGCTAAAATGTTTCCCGCAGGGGAGCCGCGAAGGAATTTATGGCCGACTTTTGATTGCGTCGTGGCAGCGGAGAGGCGCAAAGATGTCAGGGGTCAACCGTGCAGGCTTTCGCGAGCCTTCTCACGGGAAGCTGACGGGGAGCCTGTCAGAGGTCTCTTGAGGCAGCGTTTGTGTTCTGTTGGGGCCATTCGGGGAGTTTTTGGGGTATTTGGAGTTCCTTGGGGGCCTCTTTGAACCATGCTGCAGGCCATCACGAGCCAACTGAAACCATCTTGCGCCATCTCAGCGCACGCCAGCGGGCCACTCGCGCTCGCGTGACGCGCCCTCGCTGCTGTTCGCGCGGCGGCGGCCTCGGCTTCGTTGTATTTCTCTTGCTGCAGCCATGACGCAGGCATCGTGCCACGGCTCGAGCTAAACTGTGTTTTGGCGATTTCGTGGACCGTTTTCGTTGTGATGTCTTTTTGCGGCAAAGGCGCAGCGAAGAAATCACGGAAAGAAGGCACAGTAGCGAAATGAACACAACGAACACGACAAGCACTGTTTAGCTCGAGCCCTGGCATCGTGCTGCTGAGCATTGTGTGAGTGGCCATTTTGGGGCCGTCTGGAGCCATTTGCTGGCAACAGCACTGGCGTGGATTGATCCCCCTCCTGCCTCGGCAGGCCTTCCAGACGTTTCCAGGACGGCAAAGAGGGTATTGGACGGCTCCCTAGACGGGTAATGCGACGTCCAAGACGGACAATTCGCCCAGGATAGCCTCCAAGTCAAACTCGGAATATCCCGAATCTGGTCCGATAGCTCCCCAGATGGCGGCGCCGAGAAGGCCCCAAATGCCCCCAAGACGCCCCAAGACGGTCCAAAGAGGAACCCCCAGTGGCCCCGAAGGGTCAATAATCATTCGAACCATTTTAGGCTGCAGCGTTGCTCCATGTTGTAATTCTCTTCGTAGCCGTAGCTCTGGTTGTGGCTCAGGCTGCAGCCCTCGTCGTGTGAGGTGTTCTCCTTCAGGCTGTGGTCCTCCTGTCAGCACTAGCTCCCCGTAGCCCACGTTGTGGCAGGTGCTCACGAGCACGCTGTAGCTCTCCTCGTGCCTGTTGCTGTCGTTGTGGCCGTAGCTGTCGTTCTTTCTGGCTTTTTCCGGTCGATTGCAGCTTTCCTTTAAGCTTCAGCTCTCTTCGTAGTTGGTTGTGGCTGTGGATGTAGCTGTCCTTCTTGTTGTAGCCCTCGTTGTGGCAAACACTTTGAGGCAAGCTGTAGCTATTTGGTTCCCCGTGAGGTTGCAGCCTGGCAGCCTTAGTTTCGGCAGGTGCTTACCAGCAGGTTGTAGTTCAGGCCTTCGTCTTCCTGCTCCTCCTGCTGCTCCTCCTCCTCCTCCTCCTCCTCCTCTTCCTTCCTCACCTCCTCCCTCCTCCCCATCTCTCCTCTTTCCTCCTCCCCGTCTCTCCTCGTTCTCGTCCACCCCGACTCCTTCTAAATGACTAATCCCTGTTCCGCCCCGAGACGTGTTGGTAGGGCGGGCGGGGCGTTTCGCCTGAGACGTCCTGACCATTTATGCTCCTCGAGTGTAGAAGTGCAACAGTTTCACAGTAGTAGTAGAATTAGTAATCGTAGTAGAAGTAGGAGTAGTAGTCGTTGTAGTAGTAGTAGTAGTCGTAGTAGTAGTAGTAGTAGTAGTAGTAGTAGTAGTAGTAGTAGTAGTAGTAGTAGTAGTAGTAGTAGTCGTAGTAGTAGTCGTAGTCGTAGTCGTAGTCGTAGTCGTAGTCGTAGTCGTAGTAGTAGTAGTAGTAGTAGTAGTAGTAGTAGTAGTAGTGTTACCAGTATTGGTTCTAGTATTTCTAGTACCATTACTACTACTAGCGTTTTTTGCGACTACGGCAACCACCACTGTCATTGCTACCATTACTACGACTACTACTACGACGACGACTTCTACTACTATTACTACTGCTACGGGCACTGCGGCTACTACAACTATTATTCGCCCCACTACTATTACTACTACTGCTGCTGCTGCTACTACTACTATCACTAGTACTACTACTACTACTACTACTACTACTACTACTACTGCTACTACGACTACTTTTGCTACTATGGCTACTACTACTACTACTGCTACTACCACTACTACTACTACTACTACTACTACTACTACTATTACTACTACTACTACTACTACTACTACTAACTACGACTGCTACTACTACTACTGCTATAATACTTCCTTCTACTACTACTACTACTACTACTACCATACTACTACTACTACTACCTACACTACTACTACTACTACTACTACTACTACTGTTACTCCTACTACTACTACTACCACCACCACCACCACTACTACTACTACTACGACTACTGCTACTA